ATTGTCGCCGCCGTAGCTGCAGTCTCGGCCCACGGGAAGTGGAGAATGGCTTTCGGGGGGTTCGTCAGCCGTGCGGAGTTTGCTCAGCCCTGGCAGCAGGCCGAGCCGCTCCCCACGGGACCTGTGCGAAACGCCAGTGACCCGCACTGCGGGAAAGAAAAACCACCCTTACCTTTTGCCCTGCATTTTCTCAGCTCCCTGTCCTGGATGAAGCCAGCAAACATTTGGGATTCCATGAAAACTTCCAAGAAGCGGCGGATACTCTTGGAGGCCACAGATTTACGGAAAGCCTCCCTTTGGAAGGCACGCTCTCCTTTTTCATTCTGGGTTAGGAACAGGGAATAATGGCCAACTGTCTCCACAAAGAATCGGATAAAAACCTCAGACACTAATCCATTCAGGGTGTTACATTCTGCAAAATAAGGCAGCAATAAGACACCAAAATCAGCTGCTACCGGAGCTGTCAGCATTGTCGTCCACACGGGGCCAGGTACTGTCATCGAGCCGTTTACTGATGCCGTGCTCATACCCGAAAGGAGTTGTACCGGCTCCTTGCAGACCTGGATACACATCAGATAGGCTAACAGCTTTGTAATCAAGAGTGCTCGTCTACATAATTGGTGCTTCATAATCAAAAGTCAATGAGAAATACAAATTCTCAGGAAACAGCTCAGAAAATCGACATTTTTGTGGCTGCTTCATCAAAATTATACCTCACGTTTTAACTCTTGAGTAAGTTTCTTGAGAAGCTTCTGAATGACTCGGAATTAAAATGTTTGCTCTGGGGTCAATAAGCTTTTAGCAAGAACTGATCAAAAAGGGTATGTTGTAGAATTTGGGTTTTCATCATTTCTGAGATGTTGAAATAGTTTTACATATGTAGCACAGATGAGTAGAAATAAATTTCAAAAACTGAAGAGGGGCCTGTTTCATACCTTTTAACCACAGGCATTTAAATTCACCCTGGGCTGTTTTCATAATTGCTGGGGAGAAATATGAACCTTCAGAGGAAAACTCAGCCCCACCTGCACTGAAACGATTTTCTGCAGGTACCTGCTTCTCCCCCCTGAATATACCAAGAGCAATTCCGAACTCAGACATACCCCTGAGCATGTACAATTATCTGGACTGAAATAGGGCCAAGTTGATTGCAAACCTCTGTTTGAGCAAAGGTTTAGGAGGGACTCATGGGAGCGCATGTCATTTACAAAGAAATTAAAATAGATCGCTGACACGGAGTTGCTGTGGGTTGATGCTGTCAGTCTCACTCTCTGTGTGTTCAGAGACCATCTTTGGTGTCACAACAGTTATTTGAGTACTACAGTCCCATCTTTCCGTCTCCTGGATGGAAAGTCACAATATTACCTACGTGCTTGTTTATGCAAGTCTCTGTTTCCAAATGAACTTACCATCATCTGAATCACTGTCTGAATCTTGATTTATCAGTTCATTCTTTCTCTCCAGAGCCTGCTCCAGAGCAGCTTGCAATTTTCTAGGTAATAGTGTGTCTTCATCATCCATCTGACAGAGGGGAAAAAAATCATCATTAGGTCACATTAATGTGAGCAGTGACTACAGCAAACACTTTTGCAAGGTTTAAAATTCATAAGAAAAAGCATTTTGGATCTGCTACTGTCATGCCTACATAAACAAATGAAAATCTGTGTGCAACGATCCTATATTTCTAAACAAAATTTCTTGTCACTCTTAAGGAGATTTAAGTCAGGAATGATAATCCAAGGAGCAAGGTAAACATGTAGAAACTTGGAATCAGCTCTTTACATGACAGAGAGTCCAAATAGTTGTTTTTAACTAAATACACATCATGCAAAGCCCGGCTACGTGTACACACAGCTGCTGTAGTTAGTTTTGGGCAGATTCTTTGGTTCTCGACAGTTGTTTTTACTTATACTCTAGTATATCTTATTTTCCGTGTTTTCCCCCTCTTGCTCTCTTCATCTTATTCAGTGCTTGTTCAGCAAAAGCAAGTGGACACAAGACTCTTGGCTCTGCAACCACTAGTCACCAGCCATATCTTCCAGGGAATCGTACAAGAAATTTACTCATCTAACCTGCAGATTGTTATTTTTGAAACTATTTAGTGCCACATTACTATCAGGAGACGGTGATCCTTCATCTCCCTGTTTACAAGGCTCCTGCTTTTCCTACTACGTTAAATTATTCACCTTTCCTCTCTCACTCAAAAAAATTGCTTTGCAATTTTTGTCCTTTTCACCTCCAACAGTGTGAATTTTCTTCCTAGTGTGAGGTTACTATCTTTGGATGTTTTCTTTGCACTGTGAATATAGTTCTTGATTTCTTCTGACAGTCACAGCCTCGATCCCTTTTGCATACCTGAAGAGTAGTACTTATCTGCAGGCGAAATGGAAAACGAACACTTTTTTTTTTCCTAATCTCTTTCCCCCTGCACAATTCCTGCCAAATATTTCTAATCAAAGAAACCTAATCATACTGTAGGAGTAAACAGCTTGCTAGACTGCATGGCAACAGTTCGAGCTGTACTTTACCTGTCTGATGAATCGATCAGATCCCAAGTTAACCATCAAAACCTAAAGAAAAGAAAACACTGTAGTGAAACATATCTGAAGAGACAGAAAACATTCATTTGTGTCTGCTTTTTAATAGCAAAAGATCATCTGAATGGTCCCAAGCCTCAACATGCATCAAACTCCTGCTGTGAAACAGCAGATTGTGTGCTTTGTAAAACAAGAAGATGAAGTTTTTCTTTAGAGCATAAAGTGTAATTTAACATAGTGAGATACAACAGATCTGGCTTTAGGTTAATATGTAAAAAAAGCTAAAAGGATTAGGCAGGTCTTTTTTCTTAAACCTAAGCAAATGATTGCTAATCATTTTTGTTAACGTGCAGGTGAAAAGTATTTCAGAGAGGTTTAAAGAAAACGGTGTCACTTGAGGCAGAAGGGCTTCTGAAGGGCAAGAGTGTGAAATAATAATGAAGCAGCAAAGCTGAGAGAGCTGTGAAGGTGTGGGAGAGTAATGTTAGGTGGGAGGAAAAACAGAGCAGAGCGTTACATGGGCCAGAAGCACAGAGAGCCCTGAAAGCAAGCACAAGAGAATAAAATTTCATTGAAAAATGACAGGAAACTAATAGGACTAAGAGAGAAGAATGTGCCCTTGAGTATTTTTGTGGTATTTTACTGGAAGAGCTGATGAAGTGCAACTCTCATTTAATTTCCAATATAGTATTACTAAAGTCTTAGAAGTAAAAACCAAAAAACCTTAAATGTTTTATTTTCTGTGCTGGTTATGACTTCATGCACAACTTCCATTAGCAGTAATAGACATCATAGCATATGGCATTTCGTGTCTTCCTCTTCTTGTTCCAGGTACAACAAAATCAGAACAAATCAGCATATTTACACTGTACTTGCTTTTTGACCAGGTTAACATTCACTTCTCTTTGTCAAGGTGCCAGGTATGGGGAGAGAGACAGAATAAAGGGAAGACTGAACCCACTACTGCAGTTTTACCAAGAGGCGGTTGCCCATGAGAAATAGGCCAAGAAAAACCAAAGAGGCAGATTCAAAATTAAACGTGAGCATTTATGTGTGAAGGGCAGGCCCTCTCCAGGGTCATGCCAGCTTTACTCCAGGCAAACAATTCTGGTGCCAGCTCCTACCTCCTCTACAGGCAGCTCCTTCAGTTTGGGCAGAGAGCTAGAGAGCAGTCCCACCAGGAAGGGGGTAGGGCAGCACACAATGTCAATCATGGATGAAGGTAGAACAGGAATGAAGGTGTGCTGCCAGGAGAAAGGGTACAGCAGGGCCACCACGGCGTGTGAACAGCTTGAGAGGGTGCTGGAGAAAAAGGAACAACCGTGTTAGCAGAGGTTTTTATTTGTCCAGAAAATCTACCACCTGCTGATAAACTTAGCGTGTTAAAATGTATGCGCTTGGGGCCACCCTTCTATCACTTCTGACTTCAGTCGGCCTAGGTCCTCTTCCAGACCCTGCCACTTCTGTACTGGGCAGTGTGGTAGCTCCTCCCGTGCTCACCTCTAGGTGACTTGAAACTAAAGGTGAAAAACTAGGACCAGTTTGTTTCATTATAGCAGTCAGGAGACTCTTTGATTTAGAAGATGAGGTTTAATGTTCCCAACAGCACACAAGAGCAGCCACTTTGAATGATGCTTAAATCTAAAAGCAACTTCAGTTCCATGTTGTGTTACGGCCATGTCAGTAGTAAAAATGCATAATATTGAGGTTCTTATGTTGAGCACTAATACACAAACAAGAGAAAATGAAAAATAAAATAAAATTGAAAACATATCCTAAAGAAAAACTCTACTAAATCAGGTGTAAAAAAGCCCCAACAATCAATACTTACCCCAACGGAAATCTAGTAAAGGCACACATTTTTCAAAGTTTGCATATTTTTGTGACAACAGCACAGTTTTACTAAAATACATTTTAACGGGCTTGTTGACCAACTCTAGTGATAAAGGTATTAACCCTGCTCAGCAGGGTACCCTAAAATACACATTAGTATCTCCTAAACATTAAGGCTTGGTATCATTTGTGGAAAATGTCTCGCATACGTTGTCCTTCCACCTACTGAATCTGATTCCCTTTTACAGTTACATGGCTTCCAAATGTTAAAAACAAAGGAACATCATTACCAAGCGAATTTTAGCATCAGGGGAATAAAGACAGGCTCTCCATTTCAGAGCTTTGATTTTTGGACTGACTTACAACATCTGCCTCTCATGGGCTAAGGATGACAGAAACTTGGATTTTTACCCAGCTTAGCATGACTGAGCTCATTTTCTCACAGTGCAAACTTCTGTTGTGCTTAATGTGTCCACAAAGAGCTATAAATAACTAAAAACTCCAGAGCTGTTACTGCTTGAGAATGCAGGTGAGAAATGGTTTGTTCTACTGCAAGACCTGTTGGAGACTTTAGGTGGCATCAGATCTCCACCGGAATAACCCTTGCCAGCGTTTTTAGTTGTGGATTATTCCAAGGCCAGGAGAAAGGTTTCACCTGTTTGTTCCTGTCAGCGATTAACCTTTGAAGTTTGCTGAATGGAAAAAGGGAGAATTAGAGGATAAAGAGAGAAAAGGTTGGGGAAGAGCAAAAAAGCTTGTCTTTTACTGCAAATAATCTGTTGAGTTGGTTTTACTTGACATTTCCTTTAAGATCTATCAATCACGCCATGTTTTTATAGCACGTGTTGCCTGACACAGGTTTCCTGTAAAATGATGTGTTTCTCTAATTTATTTTCTTTACAACAGGCAACGGTGCTGCCATTGCCTCATGTTTTGGTCTCGAGTGTCTACCATAGCAGCGTGTTTCAGAACAGCTGTGGAGCGTGCTACAGACTCCCAGCATTTCTCAAGCTCACGTTAATGACTCTGTGGCATTTTCAGCTACTACAAATTCAGTCATCTTAGCTGAGCGACTAAAAAAAGAGCCACGTTACGCTAAAAGCAGGAAGACAAACATTCTTCTGATACTCGCTTAGTATTTTTTTCCTTTCTATAGAATGCCCTTTTGTAACTTGTTGTCTTACACGCAGCGCTGTGACGTAAATCAGCCCCTGCATCCTCTTGTGCGTGCTATTCCCACGCTAGGGGAGGCTTCGGGCTCTGGCCCAGGACACTGGTTTCTCTTCCAGAGCTTTCCCGGGAGCTGGCTGGGGCAAGGCAGCAGCTGAATGCAGCGAGCGGCCATGGATGGGGGTGTCCTGCGGCAGCGCCCTGCTCTGCTCCGCCGGCGTCCCGCGGGTCACACCAGCACCCATGTCAGCACCTCGGCCTGGGCATTTTAAGGCGCTGCACAGAGTTTTTCAAGATTCAGCCTCATAAATCTTTCCCTGTGAGATGTCTCAGGCTGACCCCCATGAAACACTCGCTCCGAACTTTCAGTCCCCAGAATCGCCCGCTGCCCTCCCTCCCAGACACTGCTCATGCAGAGGGCAGCGGGAGTCCCACACACTGTTACCAAACTCCTGCTTGCACAAAGTGCCCACGTCTCTTCTGTAGCTGGAAAGATTCGTATTTAGAAAGGATACGCATCTTTCACTTCAGTGAGAGGTTGTTACGTTCCGTAAGGTAAAATTCAGAGATGATGGATATAAGCAAACCCCCAGTTTAAATCTCTAAAATGTGGTTTGGATCCTTTTACAAGGGTGTTACTCATGAAGCATGTTTGGTAAATCAAAAAAGAAAGCCCTACCCTGGGAAACCAAGTCCACTCCTGTTTTTCCTTTCAAGATGTGCATCCCACACATTGTCCCACTGTTCTTGCTTATGAGAAATAAGAAGTAAGGTCAGGTGATTTATTTTCTTTAAGGTGTGTGAAGCACACAAAGTAAAGCAACAGAATAGTGAAAGAAATTAGATTTTTGAAATATTTTCACTTGCAATATTCTAGGGCAGTTTTGGTAATCCAGAGAGATGGTTTTGAGAGTGGGCTTTTTCATTTGGTCGGTGTAGTTTTACAGGAACGCTGCATAATGTTCTAGCTGTCGTTCTACTGGAAAACATTTTATTACCCATATGCAGGTAATTTTATACACAGGCACAAGAAACCAAACCATTGCGTGAGTCACACTAACAAGGAGCATAACATCACATACTTCTGAGGAGAATCACTGCCAGAGTCTTGCACAAGTGGGAGACACGCTGTGATGATCCCAGGGCTCCAGCCAGCCCCGCACGGCACTGGGCCAGCTGTGCCCAGGGTCCCAGCATGGCACCGGCATGTGCCTCCCTCCTTCCCTCCAACGCACTGGCAGTGCCGCTGCCCCATCCCGGCAGCACTAACGCCGAGCCCTCGTCCGGCCCTGGCGATGGGGACTACTCTGCTGACCCGTGATGCTCTGTCTCTGCGGAGCTGCTGAGGGGCAAAGGCAGCCTCTGCTGACACCCAGCACATCTCTCTGCTCTGTCAGCTGCAGGCTGTCACGCACGCACGTGTTGTCGCTCGATACGCGGTTTAAGCCTACTAACAGTAATTGGCTGTAAAAAGGTGACTGTGTTTGCAAGCTTTGTGGGCTAAGGGAATTTTCGTACATATGTGCCTATGTCACACAGATATGTAAGGCTATTATCTAGCCAGACTACAGCACAGCCTATGCCACTGAACTCATCCCATTACCCTGTACTCATCCCAATAATTTGCACTCTGCTAAAGCAAAATTAGTGAACAACATCTAGAAACATATCCAGTTTCAATTGATTTCAAAACACAGGCAATCCACCACTTCTCCTTCCAGTTCTTTTTCCATGATTATCATCTTGTTAAAAATTATTTGGAATTTGCTAAGGTTTTGGTTATCCCTGTTCCTTTAATTCACTAGATTAAAAAACCTTCAGCATTTGATCTTCTCCCCATGAAAGTATTAATATGAGTTCACCTAGTCTTATTGAGACATTCTTAATCACAAATTTTTCTTGAAGAAGAGATCTTTCGTCATGTTACAGACAAAAGATGACAATGCTGCTTTCACACTCAAAGTTGATTTATCTTCCTCTGCGCTATTTTGTTTTCCAAATCTTTTTCTTATGATAGGACACAGAAACTTGAGGGGGAGGGGGAGGCTGAATTAAATGCAAAGGGTAAAAATAAGACCTGTGAGGCAGAACTGGGAGGAGAGGAAGACAAAATGAGCCTGGAGAGCAGGTAAAAAGGAAACATGAACTGAGGGCAAAGAGGCTGAGATGCAAAACTAAGGGAGAGGACAGTGGCTGGCTGGACTGAACGACACAAGGACCAGGGAATTCACAGTTTAATGTGAACATTGTTCACGCTCTGTCACACACATGTGGCCAAATTATTGGGTCCCTGTGACACTTGTTCCTCCCTGCTGCTCTAGGTAGATGGAGGGACTGTAAGGCTGTCTGATGCCAATTACCCATCCTCGTTCGGTACCAGAGATGCTGAGAAGAGGCTGCAGCTGCCGGAGGGAAGGTCAGACACCGGCATAGCTGAAGGTGTGTGACAGGCTTGAAGCCCACTCGTGGTACAGATGTAAATCAAATCTAACCAGTGGTCGTACACTTCAGCCACTTCTGTACTGCTTCTCCCTTGCACCGCTGTGCACAGCCTGCTGATAAGCAGACAGATGCAAAAAGACAATTTCTATCAGGAATGATTTTCAAACTGAAAAGACAAATTTCCTCCACAATGGTTATGTTTACCTATATGCAAGAAACAGATTATGGTCAAAACAAACACTAGAATTTGTGCTCAGCTTATTGCTGTTTGACTCAAATTAATTCTAATACATTAATTTATCTGGACACTAATAGAAAAATTATTTCTAATGCTTACAGAGCAGTGGAATTATGCCTGGCTTCACCAATTAAAACAAAGCATGAGGGGACAGGCAAAATACTGTTCTAAGCCTTGATTCAGCAAAGTAGGTCAGCACAAGTTTCAGCCTTAATTTCCTTTCATTGTGCTGAACTACTTTGCCGAAATGAAGCCTCAGAGACCTTTTATTTTTCCACTTCTATTTTAATCAGACCAGCCCACAAGTACACACACAAGACATGATAGCCCCTTTTGAACTATGAATACCCTGACTGCTGTGGAAAAGAGTGCTGTCTGAATGGCTGCAAAGTCAGCCTCTCTTTGTCAGCAAGGCATGTTTCAGCTTCTGAAATCTGAATAATTTTTTTCTAGAAGCCCTTCAGGGGTAAAGCAAACTACAGAGAATCCTTCAAGCCTTTATAAAGTGGTTTGGAAGTAGAGACTGTAATTTTTGAAGCTATTAAATAATTTTAATTTCATTAAATATATTATTAATATATTAAACTTTACTAATGTAATTTAATTTTTAATTAAATAA